CGTCTCTGCTTCCTCCATTTCAGGGCTCCAGGCGAAGGTGCGCTCTCTGCTGGCTCTGGACACAGGTCCTTATCTTTCCGAGACTCTGCTCCCAAGCGATCTTCAGGAGGCCAGGCATCTCTCTTCCCTCCTCTCTGCTTCTCTGGCATGCTTGTTTCATCTCTTTTATATCTCAAAAGAGACTGACTCAGAACATCCTACCCTAATTTTATTAGCATAGATGATAGGATTTACAACACACATTTGGGGGACACAATTCAATCCATCACAGAGGTGACTCGGTGGAAGGATGTTCACAAGGAAGCAGACAGGTGGTATTTTCAAGGAGCTCTAAGATGACAACCGTGGACTGCATAAGGGAGATGTTTTTAGTTGCCATTAAGTTGACTTGGGCAAGGAAGGATGGAAAAGGATGCTGGAAACAGGCATCAGACAGGTGACAGAGGCTGGCGCAACAGTTGGCCAGTCTACACCAACAGGCCAGGCTGCTGCTGAAATACTGAAACACACTACAACTGATGCACAGCTGCAACACTGAGGTACCCTGCTGTCCCACCCCGCCGCCTTAGCCCCCGAACACGCACAGCAAGCATGCACACACACACTCTCTCTCACATTCCGCCGTCATCCAGCTTCCCAGTCCCTCTTATGGACTTCTCCACCATCCAGTAACGCCCGGCATAATGGAGACTGGGGCGGAGATGCTGCTGCTCCAAGGTGCTGGCATCTATTCAGAGTGGTTACCTGTGCAATGTTGGGCACCTGTTTGACTGTTCTGAGTATGCCTGCTTCTGAGCATGTAAGGACGTCTGTGTTTACCTCAAGAACAATGAGATACCTTTGAAGTGAGTGACATAATCACATATATGTTTTGAAAATACCAAATTACAGGGCGACTAACAGATCGGAGGAGGGCCAAAGTGAAGGCAGATGGACCAGTAGACGGCTGTCGCCATCTTTGCTCCACTTAGGGTAGTGAAGAGGTAGAGATGGAGAGCAACACATAGATGTGAGATAAAGACAAGAAATCCTGAACACAATTCCAGCAGGCTTTCCTTATATTTACAAATGGATCTTAAATATATATGGAAGTGCAAAGGGTCTATATTATGGGTGGAATCGCATTCCTTCATACTACGTATTACAAACCCCAACTCCTCTATTTGTGGCTAGAATCACATTTGGGAATGGGTTTCTTTGTTATGTTAATGAAGTGGGTTAGTGTAGTATAAAATTAAAAGTGCTGCGGAGGTGGGGGTGGGGGTCAAATGCAGTACGAGTTGATATTTCTGTCTTTTCAGGAAGTTGACATATGTCCAGAATGAGGTGTGTCATCAATCGACATTTCACCTTTTTTGAAATGGGAAAATCACTCATACACTTGAGTTTTTCCCATAGCGCTGTCCTTGTAAGCTGTGTTCAACATCACAACAGTTTCTGTGGCATATATCTCGAACAGGAAACAAAATTTAACTCACACGCTGTTCTCTTAAATCGGCCATCACAAAAAATGAGGCTCAAGTGGAATTGCTTGCATGAAACAATTCACTGTGACCAAAGAGAATCTTCCCAGATGCTGCTGCTGCGTGCACTAACTCAGAGTGAGTTGCCCAATGCTCTAGAAAGATGTGTATTATGAAAGCTCCGCTCCGCTCAGTGCGATTCCAGGTTTTTGGTGGGTACTCCCTCATATGCCCTAACACCTTTCCTGTGAATTAATCTGCTTAGAAATAGGGCTCTCTTTTGTTATGTTACAGATGTCAGCCCCCGGAGAAGGGTGGGTCTAAAACCTCATCACTTCTGAGTTACAAAAAGAGCAGACACAGCGACACACACAGGGGACCAGGCGCACACGAGGGCACATGGACAAGCAAAGGGTACCAGCAGACTCCAGGGACAAATATGAGG